CTTCCTTGACGTCGGGCTACGCTACCAATATCACGGTAACGAGCGATGGTACGAGACACAAAAGATTTATTAACAATTCAATGCTGGAGTGCTGTAACGATATCAACTTGTGGTTTTCCAGCCAAATATAAAGAAATCACACTATCACGCTTGAATTCTATCACGAATAACTTTTTTTCTGGAAAATTCTCACCAAAACGCTTTTGTACGCTTGTAAACAAAATAATGAGCTGTCACTAGAATAATTTTAACAGCTGGCGGACGAGTGGTTTAGAAATTACAGCAGTCTGAATTTGGTTGCAGTTTTTTTATCTCATCCTGAATTTGCTAAATATTTTCCCTTCTCAACTGAATGCCCCTCCTTCATTCAATAGCTAGTTTGCCTATTAAAAACCAATCGGTTTATAATAGAACAATTTTTTTTTACTCATTGTTCCTTTCCATGTACAATAACAAATAATAATGGCACAAAATGAATGGCGGTTGAAATTGTTTTATTAATTCATTTATTGGTTATTTCGCTATTGTTGTTGTTGCTGCTTTCATTATTTGCCTTCACTTTACAGTGATGACAGGTCGGTCATTGCATTATACATAACAAAAAAGTTTATATGTATATGCTGACAAATTTTGTTGTATTTTTGTTTCCAATATTTTACTTTTATGGAAACTTTTTGTTCAATATCCCATGGCACGATTTAATTTGAAATAAATAAATTTATTGTCAATTGTTTGAAAGAAATAGACAAAACATTTCTTTGCACAGGCCATATAAATAACAAGGAAGTTCATTTCATTTTAATTGAAGGTCATAAATTTATTGTCTTATTTTATTGAATAATAGGTGTGATAATATTTTTTGGAAAACACATATTTATCCTTCGGCCGTAAAACACATATGCTCTCTCGAAATAGAATTTACAGCTTGAATATTAATTTTCGACGAAAATGGGTCCTTTGATTTCGGAGCCCTGAATGGTAATTTAATGTAATTTCCAAAAAATAAAAAAAAAACTGCAAATAACAATCTAAATTCCTCTGCAATTTCCTTGGATTCACCTTGAAATTGAATTTTCATAAATTACCTGGCGAGCCGACCTCTTTCCGTCCTCTATTAGTCATTTGGAGAAAATTTGATTGCAACAAACTGTGTTTCCATGACAAAAAGAAAGAAAGAAAGAACGGAAAAAAATAAAATTTTATTTCCGTCATATGTAGGCCTCTGAGAGTTGTTGTCGTTGTTGTTGTAGCTGTGCGGTTGTTTTCTATTCTCAATTTAATTAAATCAACCACGCCAACCATTTGTTGTAAGTAGTAGCAGCAGCAGCAGCAGACAATTCAGGGCCAAAAAAAGAGGCAAAACACCTGAAATTGTTGGAAAATAGCCAGCCACAAAATGCCCTGCTTGTTCGAAATAGAAAGAGTAGCAAAGGTTGCCATAAATTTCTGGCCATGTTACATCTATGATTTACACGCTTTTCTACATGAAACACACAAAATGGGTTATACTCTCAGAAAGCTAGAGAAAAGAATGAAAAAAAACTTATATAGAAATAAAATCTTTGCCAGATACAAGAGAAATATTAATCAAAATAAAACATGGACAGTTGGCGAATAGAAGTGAATTACAGCTGGTGCATGTCAGAAAGCGAAAGGGGGGACATTTTGAACAATATTCTGGCAAAGAGCTTTAAATTCGACTTTTTTATATTCAAAGAAGTTTTTCAGTATGTATTAGTGCAGGATTGTTACAGATGAGGTGTGCGATTGCGGCCTACTCCTCTTAGCTTTGACGATAACGTCATTTATCATTATATTTTAATTTCAGGTATTTTTCATTGATTTCCAATAGGAACGTGGTCAGTTATAACCACGGTAAGACACAACAGTCTCGGTTGACTTAAGTTAATCAGGGATGACATGCTTAAAGTTATATTATAGGCAGGCATACATCATATTTTAATAGGTTCCCATCTCAACCCAGCAACAATCTCATTACCTAGTAATGGATTTTTAATTACATTTTGGCACCGGTTTCCTCTTACATAGAAATAAGTAACTAAAAAACTGCCAGTAAGAACCTATAGGTAAATGTAAAAATTTGGCGTTATATTTCGCCATATTAATTTTTTTGTTATGTTATTTATTGTTTTGTCGATAGAGAACAGATTTTTACTGGAACCCACTTCAAGCATTAATCGTAATGACAACCACATACCTTATGCATTACTAGTATCCTAAAAAAATAACGACTACACTATCAGCATGGTAACAAAAATATAAATAATATTACAAATATTTACAAAGCAAAATAATTTACTTTTATCTGACCAAGTTATGGTCGAATTAGTAACAGCCGACATCAACACCTAGGGTAGCTGGTTCGTAGCAAACAAACAAAATACCTTAGATCTTGTGTTAGTGGAAAAATAGAACGTATGAAGCTTAGAATGAAACGTATGCATATTTCGCATTTTTCGAAGAATTTGAGTTATTCGAAATGTTGACCCATTGTGGGGGAGATATTAGAAGAAGAGGTCCGATATATCCCATTTTTGCATCAGATATTGTGCTAATGGAAATATTGGGATACGTGAAATTTGAAAACAATCTGGCTATTGTCCATTTTCACACTTGACAATATTTTGGATAGCACTGACAATATTTTGGATTTGCAAAGTTTATCTTTCGAAGATGTAAATTATTTTCTTTAAAAATATTAACTAGACGGAGTGGACTGGTGTTGCCCATCTCTGAACTCGATCTACGTTGGACAACAATATTAAGATGTACCAAGTTTGGACCAAAACGGATACTCCCTTCCTGAGTTGTCGTGCGATCGATTCTAAATGTCCTAAAACGGTTTTGGTTCAAAGAGGCTCAGGGTCTAAAATTTTCATTTCGATAAGCCACGTTTTGGCCGTATCAAATGATATACAGGGTGAGAGAAAAAACTGCAACAAGTCAAACGCCACAATTTTTACTTTTTTTTATTAAAGGAAACAAAAAATGTCGGAAGTAACATCAAATTTTAGAATAAGTTTAGATTTGTCACAAATTATGGCCTTCAAACGGCCAATGAAGCCATCACACGCTGCCCGAATGTTGCTCTGCGGTATTTTGGCCCATTCCCGGCGAAGCACTTGCTTGAGTTGATCGACACTTTGGTATTTTTTAGTGCCAACCTTGCTTTCCAAAATACTCCAGACAAAATAGTGCAACGGATTGGTATCCGGAGATTTTGGTGGTTATTTTGCGCTGGAAATGAAGCGAGGAATGAGGTTCCTCGCTAACCATTCTTGAGCGGCTCGTGCTAAGTACGATGGTGCTGAGCATGGGTGGGAGCCAATGCCCATTACGAACTCAAATACCAAATTTAAAACAATTCCGGTGAAAACTGTAACACAAATCATCAAAATACCGAATATCTGGAGGTACATTTGTATGGTGCCCATACCAAAAGCGGAATCTAAATAATCCAATTTTTAATACAAAAAAAAAATACTTAATTTCATTCGGAAGCAGACATCAGACGGACGAAACGGACATCGTTTAATCGACATTGAATTTTATGCTGATCAAGAATATATGTACTTTATGGGGTCGGGGTGTTACAAACGAAATGATAAACATAATATACCCTCCATTGTGGAGGATAAAGAAACTACCCGTCCTTTCTATTTCAAATTAGAAATAAAATATTAAATATCTCTTTCCTTTGAAAAGTTACATATTTTTAGCCAGAAAAATTGATTTGGAATCCCTGCGACGTTGGAAGAGAATCCAGCCGTTCGTTGAATTTGACTTCATTTGGAATTCTGAGAGGATCTTCAAAATGCAAATAAATGGGGATAGCATTATATGGAGGTTATTTCAAAATCTGAATAAAAATAGGATGGTCTCAAATTACTTAGATCTAAATATATCTATTTAAATCAACTTCGTGTGCGAAATGTCGCTCAAAACACCCAAAATTTTAAGGTGCCTTATGTCAAAACGAGGAAAAATATTGAAAAAATTTCCTTGACCAAATATTCATTCAACAAGAACACAAAATGTAACATCGAGATGATTTGGTTAAACAATTGAGGTTGAAACACATAAAGTAACGAAAATGAAGAGGTCTCCAAACAGCGAACCCTATTTAATCCGCAGTTTTATGGAAGCAGTTCCTAAACATGAAAAAACACAATCAACCAAGACAATCAAAAAATAATATTTTCAAGCATTTCGACCTCCTTCTCCTGGCTACGTCGGTGGTCTATTTCCAATATCATTCTATTGTGTCATAATACCGTCAAAAACAAATATTGTGGAAATATCACTACTTGACATAAAATATTTTGATTCCCACAGTTAAAGATAAGAGCAGATGGACCGAAAACTGGACATGCCAACGAACAAGATTTTATACTTTATGGGGAAGAATTTTTATACTATATGGTGTCTCCGACGAATATATTAAAGTGTTGTTAATGAAATGACTAAGTTAATAGAGGGTATAAAATCTCACATTTTGATATGAATGTCCGGAACTCGGAACGTCCAATTTGAAATATTATTTTTTTCCATATCCATTATTTGTATATCTTTGTAAATTGCCAAAATGCACTTGGGAAACTTGGAATTACCTCTCCATTCGTCACTTTTCCGGCATAACTGTTCTACAACTTTGGGTGAAAGTGTTATATCTATGCTAATCGTTTGTTGTTCTCACATCCCACTAGTACTTCTTCTTCTTCTCTGTCTTCTGCAAAAATAAATAATTAGCATAATGATGGATCATTAGGCTTTCAAAGTAAACCGTATGTCTTCCATCATGCTTATGATGACGGACGGCCCTTGATATCTCTTTCGCCTGATTACCTCCCCATTTAGGCCATAATGTGCTGCCGTTGTTGTTATTACTTTTTTGCCATTGTGTCGTTGTTGTTTCTATTTTTTGTCCATAATTCCAAATCCATCAGTAGCAGATTAATGTTAATTTGTTTGTTTTTTTTTGTGAGTTATTGTTGACAGTAATTTGAAATTGCCAGTTTGATCCATTGGCGAAAAGAAAGATATTCATCAGCTCTCTGCTTCTTCGATAATTGCTAATAATGGTGTCGGTGGCTGGGATTTTCACTTTGTCATTATTAAACCATTAGTTGTGCTAAATTGGCAGTGTTTTGTGTGTGTGTGTTATTTTGGCAAAGCTTGGGTTTCGAATCACTGCGTGTTTTTTTTTTCTGGTGTCTCTGCAATAATTGATTTTTGAGAACTTCTGTGATTAGCGGCAAGTGAACGAGTTAGTTTCGAATTTATTGGCCACTCGTTATTTATAACTTGCGTTCGACAGTTCTTCTACAACAACATTGTATTATTTTTTGATTTGGCCAAAAGTTCCTGAAATACAGACAACTTCTCTTCTTTTTTTGCTTTCAACGATTTGTGGCCCAGGCTTGGAAGTACCCGAACGAACGAAACAAAAATTGAGACCATCTTTGAAAGTTGCCCAGCACCAGCATCAGCAACATGTTTAACGCCTTCGAAACAAAGTTTGGCTATAATAAATTACTGTTATTAGTTGTGTTATTAGACTTTTCACCTTTAAGCCAAGCGTTGAAATCGTCCAAAGCACTATCGTCCGCCACAGATAATCTCATAGGAAAGGTAAAACACTTTGACATACATTTTGCCTACTCTGCTCTGAAGCCAGCTGACTGCTTGGTTGTTATACTGATTTCCTTCATCTTCTTTTTTCGTTTAATCTTTGTTGTAAATCTAGATAAATTGTTTTATATTTTTTCATTTCTTCTTCTCCGTCTTTTGCATGGTTTTTCCTCTTTCTACTCCCCGTAACATTCATTTATCGCTATCGTTGCTGCTGTTGTTGTGTAGCGTGATTTTGATTTAATTTTTGAAAGTTTCATTTGTACCACAAACGAAGACGACGACAATGTTGCTGCCACCGCCAAAACCCCGGCACCACCATCATCGCCAAAACGTGCCAAGCTACTGAAGAAACTCGCCTGTCACTTGAGCCGTAATGTTAAGCGACGTTATTTGCAAATGGAAATGTCATTTGAACGTCAAATAAATCAATTTGATTTCGATATTTCCATTACCATGCAACGGCCGCCGCATGCCCCAGAACCCGAATTTGTCCTCCTGAATTTCACCGCCCTCAATGGCTGTGAGTTTTTGGCCAACCGAAATCAAGTGGTCTTAATGAATTTGGTACGCAAATCATTGGAGCGTTATAGCAACATACCCAGCCATTGTCCTTTTTCGCCACAAATTTCGTACTATATTCGAAACTATCGCTGGGATATGGAGCAGATGCCAGCCTTTTATGTTGAGGCTCCGGTGCGTGTGGATTTCGCCTATACTTTTGAGAAGACGACACGTGTCCGGGGTACCATTGAAGCTAAATTGGAATTGAGATCGAATAAGAAATTTGCAGCAGTACAATAGGGTGAAGCGAGGAACGAGAGAACGAACTCTACGGCAATTAATACCAAAGTAAAGAAGAATTTTCAATGTTAAAAAAATGTGGGCCAAAAATAAAATTAAATGTATTTACATTGGTCTATCATCGGTTTGTTTTGTTTTGAAAGGGAGAAGGGGCTCTAAGCCATATAAACATATAACATAATTTTTCACCGGAATTGTCTCAAATTTCGTATTTTAAGCTTGTAATGGATGCTACAGCCTGTGACCGAAAATTGAATATGCATATATAGCTCCAGATATTCGGTATTTTTATGACTTTAGAGACATTTTTCATAGGAAGTGTATCAAATTTCGAATTTGAAGTTCCTGATGGGTACTATAGCCTATGATAGGCAGGCCCGGGTCTGCGTATAACCCCCATATAACGGTACCTCCCTATATTCGGTATTGTGATAATTTAAGCTACATTATTCACCGGAAATCTTTTCAGTTTCGTAGTTGCATTTCGTAATGGCCCATTACGAAAAATGCATTTACAGGTCCTCGGTTTCGACTAGTCCCCTTGTAACGTTAGCTCTATCGGTATTTTTGTGTTTTTAGCAGTTTTTTCAGTTTGGCCCTCTATGGAGTAGGTTCCGAAGGAAGGGGCCAATATTGTCAATTTCGTATCGGACCTAAATCAATATCATATAAATATTGCGACGTACCAGGTTTGGACTATATAGACTGCTGCCTTCACTTTATAATTTTTAGAAAATGTTGAAATGTGCGTGAGGGTCCAGATATAATCGACCTAAGTATTCTATTTTCATACTTCATCTAATGTAGAGAAAAATATTGTTAATGGCAAAATTACAAAAAAATCGAACATTTATCTATAATTTAATGCGAAATCATAAATTCCATATTGGTCGCAAGTTTCTAGTTCAGAAAAATATTTAGATATAGCAAGTTGTAAAGAATTGCAGACTTGTTTTGCAAGTTTTAACAGATAAAAGTACTGAAAATTCACCACAGATCTTTTGGTAGCAAAATGTTTGGACTTGTGAACTTCGAGGAGAGCCGGATGCTTTATTTCGCTTTCTTTGAGCGTTTTGTTTTTCAAAATCTTGAACCCTATGTGGGGGAGGTACCAGAAGGAATAGTCCGATCTCTACGATCTTTATCACAAATCTTGTGTTTATGGAAATTTTGAGATGTACCAAGTCTGAATTGAATCGGATCTTAATATCGCATTTTATTAGCTTTATGGATATTCAAAAATTTGAACTCTTGTGGGGGAAGTACTAGAAGGAGTGGATCGATATATCCCACCTTCACAGCAGATCTCGTGTTAGTAGAAATAATGGGATGTGTGAAATATAAAGAGAACCGGATGCATATTTCAGGTTTTTATAATAGTTTTGGTTATTCAAAACTTTGACCCTTTGTGGGACAGGTACCAGAAGGAATGATCCAATCTCTACCACCTTTATAACAGATCTTGTGTTTATGGAAATATTGAGATGTGTCAAGTCTTAATGAAATAATAAAAAGATATTAATTTAGTGTTTTATGAACTTCATGGATATTCGAAATTTTGAACCTTTGTAGGGGAGGTACTAGAAGGAGTGGGCCGTAATATTCCATCTTCACATCAGACCTTGGATTTATAAAAATATTGTGATGTGTGTATTTTGAAGACAATCAGACTCTTACATCACATTTTATAAGAGGTATAATTATTCCAAATGTTGACCCTTTGTGGGGGAGGTACTTGATGGAGTGTACCGTATTGTCCATTTTCGCACCTAACCTAGCACTGATGCAAATATAAGGATTTGCAAAGTTGGAGCAAAATCGGATTATCCTTTTTCTTTCTGTGCAGTAAATTAATTTCTTTGAAAATATTGCCATTTTATGGGGGAGATACCAAAAGGAGTGGACCGATATTGTCCATCTTCGAACTCGATCTAAGTTTGACAATAATGTTACGATGTATCAAGTTTGGATCAAATTAGATACTCCCTTCGAGAGTTATCGTGCACACCAGCCAGCCAGCAGACAGACAAATGGACGGACGCATGTCGACTCCAAATGGCCTGAAACCGATTTGGTGCAAATCAAAGCTAAAACATTCTCTCCTCCTTATTAAGTAGAGAGTAACGTTTGCAAATAGATTGCGCGTCCAACTCCAAAATTTAAGATTGTGAGGTCGCGACTCGGCAAATGAAGCAAACCTAAAATTCAATGAATTATAAGACATTAAATCAGAATATATAAAAATTGCCAGTTCAAAATTCAAAAAATTAATTAATTTAATTAATTCTTATATGAGAAAGAAAACGTAAATTAAAAATTAAGAAGAAAGAAGCATTTGTATAATTTTTTGAATTTTGATCTAACAATTTTAGTGAAGCCCTTTTTTGCGCAAAACGAGCATGACAAATGTTTGGTAAGTTATGGGATTCGTAATTAGATATGACTGCCAAGTTTTGCTTAGGAAACCCATTATCTTGGATTGGAATTTTTTGCTGAGTAAATTTCTTTCAGTTCACTGCACATATTTTTTATTCCCATAATCCACACTTTGCTAGACTAGAGCTAAGATCTTCCACAGTTAAAGGACTTAAAATAATTTCGATATATTTTTTTATTCGTGTAGAGAAGTTTTGTGTCAAACTGTATATAACGAACAAAATACAACCCTGCTCTGTCATTTGCTCTGCCTGTCTATCAACGCACACAACTTATAGTTGACAGTTGACAGTTTTTCCCAACACAGATCAAATGTCATCGATATCAGTTGTTGGAGCTTTTCTGACACATGTCAACTCAATCAGAACCCAATATGTTATATTTTAATTTTTATTCACTTCAACGAAATTTCCCTCACTTTAATCCAATATTTGAAAGCTTACACAAAAAAAAAAAAAAAAATACAAAAATATCGTAAGTGTATGTGCATATATGTGTGTGTGTGCGAACTATGGTTGATTGTTTGCTGAACTTAAATCGTACGATTTGTAAATTAATTTTATATTCAGCCATGACTCACGCCCTTTCCAATGCGAATAGGCCGGCTGGCGGACTGGCAGGCCGGGTATATTTGCTCTTAGTTGAAGCGTATTTGAGTGGATTGGATTATTGTGGTACGTGCCGTAGCACGTTGCTACAAAAATTCAAACATTAAAAAAAATGGGGGGTATTAAAGCTTTTATTGAAACCTACAATTCTGCTGTTGTTTTATTATTATTTTTTTAATGTTGTTTTTCTTTTATTATTTTCACATAATTGTTGTCAATATTGTTAAAAGTGATGCCATCAACACAAATTATATATCCACCATCACATTTAAAATAAAATTGCCAAAAAGAACTGGAACACCAAACAAAAAAATGGGTAGGAAAGGGGGAAATATTATTTAACTTCTCCGATGATAGCATGAATCATTTTACGGTTCATTTACAAAAATTCCCATTAACTTGCTGGGATTCGCAGTTTTTTTATTGGTTGGCTGACTGGCTGGTTCTCTGGCTGGCTGTATGCTTCATATTGCGCTAATTCATCAGATTTTGTCTTTGTGTTTTTTTTTTTTTGTTCTTTGTGATTCTTAAGCTGAGTTTTCAAGAATTAATGCTTATTGTTCACAATTGTATGTGATGAGATGTGGATAAATCTTAAAAAGAAGTTAAGATTTTGAATTATAGAAATTCTTTTTTAAAAAAGTTGATTTATTTTAACAAAGGGCGTTCATATTCGCATACAAGTTGATTCATGATATTAATAAGAACTTAGGAAAATTGCCAGATGATATTAATTTTCTTTGAAACTTCTATTAACATTACATCCCGTTTGTAAATTTCATTGAGAATAGCCCGTAATTTTTTCAAAAACCGCATTACCAAATAATAGGTTTCCAGTCGAATTTTCGGCAGTCGTAGCTATTAACAGTTATTTCGTCGTAGCTATAAACCATTATTTTTACAGGGTCATGTCAGCCACATGGCTAATTATACCCTCGGCCATATGACTAGTTACACCCTCAGACATATGGCTAAAGAGGGTATATATCATTTGATACGGCCAAAACGTGCCTTATCGAAATAACGGTTTTGGACCCTTGGTCCTCTTGGACCAAATCCGTTGCAGGACATTTGGTGTCGACCTAGAGATGTCCTGGCTGGCTGGTGCGCACGATAAATCTCGGATGGAGTATCCAATTTGATCCAAACTTGGTACATGATAATATTATTAACAAACTTAGATAGAGTTCGGAGATGGGCAATATCGGTCTACATCTTCTGGTATCTTTCCTTACAAAATGTCAACATTTTCAAAGAAAATAATTTAATGCACAGAAAGAGAAAGTATAATCCGATTTTGCTCCAAGTTTGCAAATCCTAATATTTACATCAGTGCTTGGTCAGTTGCAAAAATGGACATTATCGGTTCTTTCCATCAAGTACCTTTCCCATAAAGGGTCAAAATTTTTCAATAATTTAAACTCTTGTAAAATGTGATGTAAGGCTCCAATTCAAATTACACCTACTCCATAGAGGGTCAACAATTCGAATAATCATAACTCAATTCAAAATATATTTAAACAATCGAACATAGGTTGAGGATATACATCTGTCGGCTAAACCGACTGATACTTTTTAACTTGTTAAATCTTTTTTTTACCTCCTCTTGAAACCAGTTTTGCGCAGGCAATCTTTTAATCTTTAGAAAATCAACAAATGTTGTTCAAACCAAGTTTTATTCACATCCATTTGTAGCAATTTTTAACACCATTTTCCGATTTTCCTATTTCTACAAAGCGTGTCAAATATTCATAAAACTTTTTATTTCCATTGAAGAAGAAAAAAACAACTTTGCTATAGTATTGCATCATTTATATGGCTATTTTGTGATATTCCAATAACCATAAATAAATGACTGACTGACTGACACTGTTATCCGACCTACCGCTGCTTCTTCATCATTCAGTTACCACTTTGTATTTTCATGTCTCGGGATATTATGTTTTTTGTTATTTGATTTCCTTTATTTGAAATTCAACCAATCAACTGGCCAAATCATCTCCCAACATAACCATCGCAATCCTTTTTTAT